GGTGGGGGGCCGGCCCGGGCTGCACCCACCGCCGCTGAGCCGGGAGGAGAAACGGCGGAGGCGACGGGCCACGGCCAAGTACCGCTCGGCCCACGCCACGCGTGAACGCATCCGGGTGGAAGCCTTCAACCTGGCCTTCGCCGAGCTGCGCAAGCTGCTGCCCACCCTGCCCCCCGACAAGAAGCTCTCCAAGATCGAGATCCTGCGCCTCGCCATCTGTTACATCTCCTATCTCAACCACGTCCTGGACGTGTAGCGGCCCCACCGCCCCGACGGAACCCCCGGAGCACCGGGTATCACCCCCCCCTCCATCACTCCCCCTCCATCCCTGCCGTCGGGGGACCCTCCCGCACCCGCCCGCCCCGGGTCCGGCGGTGCAGCGCCTTGCCGGGGGTGGGGAGGACGGGCGGGGGTGTCCCCGCAGCCTCCCCGCTCCCCCCGGGGGCTTGTCCCGCAGGGTCGCGGTGTGGCCGGCGGAGAGCCCCCCGTTTGTTCGAAGAGAAATGTAAAACCGGATTGTTTCTTCAGGCTGTCAAGTGCCCCTTTTATATATATCCAAAAAACATCTACTTGTGACCTTAAACGTGTGACCCATGGGTGCAGTTTAAAAATAACTATTTTTTATTTATGGTAGAAGGAGTTGACAATTTATTTTTTTCAAGATTTATTTATTTTTCAGAGTGGTGGCAATTTTACTTTGGATACTTCGTGCCAATTGGTTTCTATAGTCGGGTGTTTACACTTTCTCCTGTGGAATATTATGTTTAACTTGACGAGTGTTTGTTGGGATCGATAGTGTTCCTTTTCCTTATTTTTTAATTTATTTTTTCCCCTCCAATTATATTGCACTTGTGTACGACAAACCTCCCCTTCCTCCCTGTTTATAAGTATATTTTATATATATCAAGGCATTTGTTCTTGACCTTTTTTCCTTTCTTTTCTCGTGTGGGATGGACAACCACTAGCACTTAACTAGGAGAGTTTTTTTAAAACTTGTTGTTATTCTGATCTATAGTTCTGTCTGAAAAGTACTTTGCAAATCGTTTATAAGGGAAGTAGTTTCTTTGTGGGTGTATATGTGCGTGTGTGTCCACATGCATGTGTGTGGGAGTGAGCGTGGGCGTGTATGTGTGTGGTATATTTTTAGGAAAGGACATTTTTCCTAAAAAAAAAAAGAAAAAAAAAAAGAAAGAAAAGTAAATCCAGGACTGCTTTCCTTTGTGACAACCAAAAAAAAATTCTATAACCTGAGAAATGTTTCATGTTCTTTGCTGTGAATCTCTTAAAACAGGAAGCGCATTTTAGGGACGAAAGAGAAAAAGAAAAAAAAAAAAACCACATCTGCTATCCAAAGATTTTAGTCTTTTTCAGGGTTTTTTTGTGTGTCTCTGTTGCTTTATATAATGCAATATTTTGTAGTGAAAATAGATAAATCTGGTTTCTATCTGATGCGTTTTTCATATCTCTCATGAATGGTGAGCTGTTTTGCATATAAATAAAAGTATCAAATAAAAGCTGTTTTTTCCTAATTATTCTTCCCTGTTGGTCTTTCTGTGAGGTGAAGATGCCATGCCCTTAGGAATAAGAATTGCAAAGGCTTCTCGGGTCGGGAGTTGGGAAAGCTTCAACAGGTTACCTGCCTCTTTCGTCCCTCCAGCTGCTGGCAGCTGCCTGCGCTGCCCAAATGCAGAGGGGACACGGGGACACTTTCACTTTCTCCCCATCCCGATGGCCATCTGGCCTCACGTTTCAAAGTTCAGGCTGTAAAAATCAACCTCGGGGCTTGCAAAGCTCCAGTTTGGCCACCCCGCTCTCCAATGCGACCAAAATGGATGTGTTGTCGTCCTGAGTGCACCAGGGTTTCTTTCTCCTGTTTAAATTCGGGCTTGCTCTCTCTCTGGCCAGGTCCACGTAAAAATCTTGGGCCCTTTCCCTGTATTTTTGAGAACCTCAACTATGCTCCTTCATGAAGTGCTGGGAGGTATGGTTTAGTGATGATGCTCCTTGTTTGTTGTGTGGGTGTCTATTTTTGTCAGTTAGGTTGACGGTTGGACAAGATGATCTTTAAGGTCCCTTCCAACCTAGAAGATTCTGTGATAGGAGGCTTCACTCCCAAAGCCTGTCCATTGAAACACAGCACAGATCCAGCCCCAGTAGTAACAGACAGGTTATTACCCCAGTAACGTGAGACCTCTGCCCCACCTCATTTATTAAATCCAGTTCTTGTTTACTGCAAGGGGTTAACTTTACCTATAATTTGAATATCGCCATTGACTCTGGCGGCTGCCTTCAGCAGAAAGCACATCCATTGTTGCTTGCTTTAGAGATAAAAACCTCTTCCCCGCCCCCCCCC